ACAAAAATGAAGGTTTTGTTGAACTATATTTTACAATGTGGAGAACTTGATTCAACTAGGTCTGGTTTAATTTACTCCCTCCCCTCCTTACTTTTTATGCTGCTGGAGACCGGGGAAAATGGGTCAGCTTCTGCCAGAGCACCCACCCTATGAGGCCCCTGGCCTGGTTCATGCTCATGTGCTCTAATATATATATATGACAGGGAAAGCTGGGGCTGCCCAGAGAGACTCACAGCACTTGTACAGGGGATGGTGTGAAACGCTGCCTCCTCTTTCTGCTCCATGGCACCGCAGAGACCCTCTGAAATGGCACCATCTGGGTACCGAGAGGAGTATACGGCATTTAGTTTTAGTGTCTACATTGAAAAATGGCTGTTGAAAAACTGAACCAGGGAGGAGCTGAGTTTTTAAAGACATGTCTGCATTCAGAGCCCAGAGGAGCTCAACCCGCTTTGCTTATTAAAGAGAAGACTGAGAGATGCTCATCCTCTCAGGGCAAGGTGATAGCTAATATAATATGTTGCTTCACTTTGCAGACAACAACATAACCAAAGCCTATGAAAATGCTGCTTTCAGAACGATCCATTAGAAATTGTGCAGCCAGACCAAGGAAAGAGGACATTTTTACCAGAGAAGGTAATAACTTCTGGGACAGAGGATGATGGCTGGGGCAGTGTCTGTCAGACTTGTAAATCCAACCTCTCCTAATTCAGCAACTGCTTACGTGTTTTGGGTCATGTAAAAGGTCAGGGAAGAGCATCACAAGGGCCTTTTCTGCCTTTACAAGTTAATGTATCTTTGCTATAAACACCTCCTAATTTTTACAGATTCACTAGTTCCTACTTCTCTGCATTTCTTCCCAGAAAATTTCAAAGCCCTCCAAGACTCAATCTGGAAAATAAAACTTAAATCACTTCAGAAAGCAACCCCCCCCCTCCTTGATAATCCTGACATCAATGTTATTTCACTCCTGTTCCTCAAGATGCACGCACTTCCCTTGAGGGTGGAGCAGGCTGTGCGCCCCTGTCCCCTCTGCCCCCTCTAAGCTTTTGCTATTCACCTTCAGCATTCCCCCCCTCCCTGGGGGGTCTGTCAAGGGGTCAGCTCCTGCCTCCTCCTCCCATCCCATGTTCCTGTCTCTCTTGAGGACTGACTGGCCCATGGTGCTCCTGGGGGAGAGGCTGCCGCCAGCATAGGTTGTCCTCCGTGGCCCTGCCTGCCCCTTGGCTTTGAGAGGCCCCCGCCTCTGGCGTTCCTCGGGCAGCCCCGGGCTTGGGGCTCTGATAGTGGTTCGGCAGTGCCATGAAGAAACAACAGAGCCATGTCAAACTCCCCGGGAGGTGAGGTACGAAACAAGGTCATCTTTCTCTTTTTTTTTTTTTTTTTTTTTTTCTTTTCTCAGAACATGTAGTAGGAATCTGAGTTAAACAGAGTGTGACTCTTAATTTTTGCATAACAGATTTCAAACAAGGGCTTATTACAAAGGGCAAATAGGATTAATCTGCAAAAGCAGCTAACTAAACATTCTGGGGAATTAAGCCCAAAGGCGATACTGTACTTTATTACTGGACATCAATATTTATCACATCTCTGTTCAGGAAGAATGCCTCAAATTGTGGCTGCCAATTGCAAAACAAATTGAATAGATCTTTATCTGTAATCAAGGAAACCAGCCCTGAAATGCAGAATTAGGATTTGCTAATTCCCATTTAAACTGATATTACAGTTTACTGCTTTCTGTCTGTGCAAGCATCTTAATTAATCTTTGACAATGCATGGCTGAGATAAAAGCTTTACAGTTCCAGAATAACACGGCATTGCAGGCCAGAATAAAATTAGGAGTCTGAATAATGGCAGGAAGCACAGCCATGATGTGCTTAAAAAAGAAAAATAAAATAAATTAATTCATTTGGATGAGCTATTAGTTTTTAGAGTCATTACGTTACAAGCAGCGTGAACTTGGGCTGACATACAGAGAGCAGCCGGGTGAATCATATGCTCCTTATGCGACAGACTTTGGAAGGGGCTTTAGAAATAAATTAGTGTGATGAGTGGTGGCTGCGGCTAGAGTTAACGTACTCACATGGTCACCTCAGGGATGGGGCTTCCCCAGTATGTAACAGCCCCCTCAGTCTGCTCTCACTGATGTCCGTGGGAGCAAAGATGGGCTGGCACTGAGCTCTGCTGAAAGTGCCATGGAGGCCAATGCCTCTGGTAAACTTCCTCCTGGAGGTTGGCGGGCCGATCGAGCGCAGTGCCTCTTGCTTGCACACTGACTGACTTCAGTGGCTGAGGGACTAAGCGAGGGAGACTCAGGGGAAGTGGGTGAGGCACAACAGACTTGGTGGTGGAGTCTCCTGGGATCAATAGCTGGAACTACAAGTCGCTGGATATGTAGGAATGCCTTAATGGCAAAGAAAAAGGGCACAGCTGGGCCCTGTTGTTGGACGAGCTGTCCTTCCTTTAGGAAGAGGGTTGCTGTTACACAGCATTGCATGAGGTTATTCCTCAAGCCTTTTAATGAACCAATAATAAATAAAATTGATAAATGCTTTCTCAGTTACCCCCAAACAGCTAACATATTCCCATCAACACTCCTTAGGGCATATAGTACGAGTCCTTTTTGTTCTTCTTTTAATCTCACCTCATCACTTGCTGACATGGCACAGCCAGTTACCAGTGAGTGCTTAGAAATGGTCAGTGAATATTGAGTCACGTTCTTAAATTGGAAAGATAAATTCAGGAGGTTGAATAGCTTGACCAAAGTCACAAAAAATTAGGCCGAGAGAGAGAGAAACTGAGTCCCAGAGATCCAATTCTACATGCTTTAATGAGACTATATGGCCTCTGTGATAAGCACAAAATGGGTTTGGGGAGCTTTGAACCTCTGGGAGAGTAGGTTTCTCTGTTTAAGGTACAGGTGTAGCTGTAGTAGGGTTCACCTCTCTCCTTCCAGACAGCCTGGAATCCGGAGAGGGAGGTAGCCAAGGGGTTGACCAGCAAGGTGAAACATTCTCCGCTGGAAAGCCTCAAGTGATACTGACTTGCACTCTTCCTTGCAATTGCAGTAACAGAGAGCCACAGATTATAGACAAATTATGAAAGAACACAATTCTATTGAACTTAGCTTCAGATTAATTTTGTCAATATCCTTCCTCTTTCCTTCCTTTAGAATTATTTTTCACTTACTTGTAGCGACAAGGACTACATAGTCATGTAACAGGCTGTCAGGATGATTTTGTTCTGACGTTCAGTCATTCTGATTTATGCTTTCCCTCATGACAAGCTTTGCACTATGCCACTCAGGAGGATGGACTGTCAGCCTTTGCACCTATTCCCAGACATGCTTTTCCTCCTCATTATCTAAATCTGTCATTTGGCCCAAACTTCCACACATAAGGTAGTTTTTGTCGCAGAACAACTCGGAGACAGCAGCAACATGATCAGGAAAATAACTCTGCATCCTAGCACCCAATCAGTGGCAACAAGATGACTTTTCAAGATAACAGGGACAAGAAATCCATGGGAAAACTACATGTCCATGCTCTTCCGGGGGAAAACAAGTAGAACAATAACTTAGGAAGTGATGAGACTAACAAATTATGCATTAAAAATGGCACATATCAAATACTTAATATGCATTAGTAAGCATGTGAATTTGCAGAACCTGTTACGGTGATTTCAAAAATTATTCTTTTTGGAAAAAGCTACAGGAAAACAAACACTTTTTTGGCTATGTAGGAACTTTTTAATACATGCTGTAATAATGAACATTACTAATGGAACTCTTTACAGAGAAGAGAAACCCCGCTCTTTTGAACTAGAGTTCATCTAGAACAACGCTTCTTCCAGTTTAGTAACTTTATTTTGCTTCAGTGGAAAGCAGGATCTAGAACGAATGCCAGTGGGATTGTATTAGAATAGTAATGCTTTTAGCAACTGAGAATCTTGCAGATCTATAGTCCATCTCAGTACGTTCCCAACTAGTATTTACAAAGCTAATGGTAATACAAAATTGCAAGATTTAGCATCAATGAAAAGGCTCTGTAATTGTGTCCAAGTAACAGGCCCTTTCAAGAGACTGTCCCATGGGCACAGTGCTCCATGTGTGACCTTGAGGAAGAGGACATGTTCTTGACTATGGCTCAGTTCCAACACAAAAATCTCTAGTGGGTTCATTCATTTTCTTTCACCCAACTGAAAAGCCCACCAGTTCTTTCCCATGAGACAATAACAAAATTAAGCTATATTTAATTACTGAAAGACAAACAAAGAGAAGATGGAAAACATTGTCTCTAGGACAGCAATAAAGCTAACGGGATATGTGTCTGGACCAACTGAAGACAGGAGGGTAGTTAGGTGAGGATAGGACCTAGATAATTTTCTTCCACAAAGTCCTTTGCTCACTTTTCTGACTACCTCCCGCAACCTTTGTTTTGGCACTTCTGTTTTATTACCCATGCTCTCCATTTCAGTTTACGCACACCAGCTTCACGGTTTGCCTCCCGGACAGAAATCAATTTTATGCAAAGGTGCTTGCTGCACAGTAATCTTTTTTCTTCTAATCTGGATTCCCGTTTTACTGTTCTGATCTCGTGTGTTGCTTCACACGATGTGAAACCGGTAGACTATGGAGCCTACTGTCTTCATCAGTGCTACCGATAACTGGCAATGACAGTTGTTCTTTAATTTCCTCAAATACTGGAATAGTTATTTTATAAAGACAAGATAAATGTTATGCCACTATTATTTTATTTGCTATAATCGGTCAGCATCTGAAACAAAAAACAAACATACTTTGGAATGCTTTTCCTATAGAAAAAAAATCAATACAATGCTAAGCTACAATCGATATCAAGGTTGGATAACATACTCTGGCATTAACGGTCCCTCCTTGAGTTGAGGAAGTGTAACTAAAGGAAACGTAATCTTGCCGAACGCAAACATGATTTTGCACAGTATGTACACACACATACAACGCTAAAGAAAATAATCCCCACTTCATAGTGCAGGCAGCCAAAAGCTGAGTTTTTTATTTAAATTTAAAATAACAAATATTCACCTACATCACAATATACTGCTTAGTTTATCGCTTCTGCTTTGAATGTTGTGCTTTCATTTCAAGTATCTCTATTTTGCAATTGTGCACACACTGCAAAATTATCTTGGAATATCATTTAGCATCTGTGCATATCCATTTCTTTAGAGCTTAATGCTACACTGAAACTAAAAAGTCTTGAATTTTAAGGTACCGGAGACAATCAATAAAACTCCACTGAAAAAAACAGTATAAATGTTTCTTGTAGTACAGTACTCTTAATCTCATGTCAATGTCACCATAATGACATAGTTTTCAATTATTCTTCATACAAAGAGAAGTCTAGGAAAAAATCATTATCTAAAATGCCATTCCTAAGTCAGTTAAACTCTGAGTTATATGTACAGTATATAAATATACTTATGTATATATGTACATATATATTGGCTAGCATTCATTATAAATAGAACTGTCTTACCTTAAGCAGTATAAAAATAGCCACTTTCCTGGGAACATGCAAACACAATATGCTTTCACCTAAAACAACCACAACCTTTAGCTCTGGTTTTCTTACAAATATAAATTTTAATTGAAGACTTTTAGCTGATTTAACCATAAAGTTTTTTTTTTTTATTTTTGAGTAAATATAGAAAGTCTGTTCGATGCTAGCTATAGTTAAGCTCAAACACAGTACATTTTGGGTAATTTACTTTCAAGTATTTTTCCCATGTGAGCTAAACCTAGACACATTGCAAGTTTTTGTTTTGCTTTTACACTAGGCTATTGATGATCAGCTCTAAACGCTAAAAGCCAAACTACAGGCAATCCAACATGCTTCCACTGCAGGGAAAAGGCTCTCCTCTACACTATTCATATGTGGGAGGCTGCCCTAATATGGCTATTTGTGCTCTAGGTCCTTTGTCCATTGCACAGCAGTTAGCAAAATTCCCATTTTGTAGATTCTTAAGGCCAGAAGTACTGTGACCATGTAGTCTCACCTTCTGCTCACTGAAATTCACTCTGAGATCCCTGTGTTCAGCACAGTGACTGGTAGCTGGTCTAAAACGCCTCTCTATTACAGCCAAAGAGATTCCATCTCCAGAAGTTGAGTGGGGTCTTGGCTTCTTAGTGACTTTTCCCAAGGGGAAAAAAATTCGGTTCCATCTGAACCAAATGTGACATTTTTCCTTTTTTCTTGCCGTACGAAAAACTGAAAATTTGTTTGTTTTGCCCCAAAACATTCTATTCTCCTCCAAACAAAGTGCTCCGAGTACTTGGTAGAAAAGCAAAAGACGACAAAGGGCTACATTCACGAAGTTGACACTATTTCTGTATCTGCAGTTACCTAACAGCTCAGTAAAGAGCACACACTGGGTTGGACTGTGGAAGAAATAGGGCCGAGTCCTTCCTCTGCTGAACAGATTTCACCCCTCTCCCAGGAGAATGCCCTAAGCATGTGACTATACTGAATATGGCATATACTGCATCTTAGTTCTCTTGTTGATACTGTTCCACTTAGTTTAAAAAAAAAAAAAATTCCCCACGCATTTCAGAGGAGAGGACTGAAACACAGCTGTCTCCCTTCCCTAAAACCCTGTCTCATCCAGCACTTTTGAGTTGGTCTTGCTACCTCTGAGTTTATGGAAGCATTTTACACAAAACACAACGGCATCAGCAAGAGGACTTGAGGAACGCTCTCTTCAGGCCAGCATTATTCTTGTGATCAGGGGAGCTTTTAAGGAGGCAGGAAATTTGAATGTAAATGGCCTGAGCAGAGAGAACAGCCTTGTTTTTTAATTCCTATTTTTTGCACTTGGATGTTACTGGGTAGTAGAGGGATGATCTAGATGCTTCCCTCCAGGAGGTTGGTAGATATTGCTCTGGACGTGTTTTCCAGATGAAAATACCGTGTGTTGTGATTGGATTAAATCTGTGAATACTTCTGAGACAGAAGTGCATCTCCCACAATTTGCTATTTCATCCAGTTCCAAGAAGGGCATACAACTAAATGAGTTGGATGTCAGTGAAGGCCTGCTCTCCTAAATATGTTGTACGAGGTTGCTCGTGCAAGCCCTTCTCTCTGGCACCTTTGAAAGCAGTACACCTAATTCCTTACTCCTCAAGCAAAATGGCCTAAAGTTCCCAGCCACAGCCTACATTGTTTTTTCCCTGATCTCCCAGGGTGGCTCCCACAGTTTTCCTAAGAGTCTTTTCTATGTCCGAAGTGATGAATCCTTATTAAAGTAGCACAGTCTTCCACCTTTCATATTTTTGTAAAAGAAGAGGCATTCTATTTCCTATGCTAAATAGCATAAATGCACCAAAACAATGGTATGGATGCCCTTGTATTAATTGTTTATAGAGCTGTCATTGGAGGTTGGGGACTGAGAAGTCACAAAAGGCTCGTCTGCCTTCTGATCCTCCTTCATGGAGGTTGCTTGGTCTGAGATGGAAGAGAAGGAGAGCTGGTCATGTTCCATTATATGCACTTGGTCCTCTTCCTTGTCCTTCTTCACATAAAACAATTTCCTAAACTTTTTGAGCTCATGGAGTTCGCAGAAAGTCTCGAGAACCACCAACATTGCGATAAGCCCCAGCAACAGATAACCTGGGAAAGAAGAAAAAGGGCTTTAATTATTAGCAAATAGAGTGAGGATGAAACAGTTCTAAACATGTAGCTTTTCCCACCCCTGTCTTTTCTGAACAGTATCTTAGTCTTCTTTATGACCCAGTTTCGGAGTTTTGGAACGGAGCTCATGAAATCCTTTTTGCCTTTTTCATTCTACAACCAACAAGGCCCCAGATTATTAAAAAAAAAAAGTAGTGTTTGTGGGTTTAGTTCCGTTGCAATTGTACATTTGAAAAATATGTAATGGCATGTAATCAATCAAAATATTAGAATTTTATCACCTGTACTCTACCACATATTTATGGGCTTCATGATTACACGCTCTTCAAAGCTTTTTTCCCCTAATTATTACTTGATGTTTCAAATAGAAATAAAAATATGGCAGCTAAATATAGTTATTTGTTGTTTGTATCAGTTTAGCAGGACAAATCACTTATTTCATGAACATTTTTGAAGTATTTTCCTTTAAAATTATAGGAGTAAAACTGACATTGTGAAATAAATAGAAAAACAAGAACCTAGAAAGATGTACAAAAGCAGTAAAACTAAAATTTAGAATTATTTTATAATTACTGCTGATATTTTTATAAACTTGACAAAGTTTCTGCATCTGATGAAACCCTGGAGATTATTTGAAAAATTTTACTAACAATACATATGCTATCCTATCTTGCTAGTGTTACTTAACTAACATTAGCGATGACTTTAGTGGTGTACTGACTCTGATTTTTAAAAATATCAATTAGTTCTCATAGACCGACACTTCTGGAAACCAAGCTTTGCATGGTTACAGCTCACTATGTTCTTGTTTCCTTTCCAAACACCTGCACCTAGGATTCCAGGGAAGGTGTTGAAATGAGCATTTCTTAATTTCTGTGTTACCATTATCTGTGACTGATCCTTATAAACTAACAATGAACATGACTACCTTAATATTTTATCATTTCACTGAGTGAATCAAGTAAAGCCGAGTGCATAATAATTCACATGGAGCTGAATGCATAATGAGCACAACATGCTCTTCCAAAGACTGAGCATTAAATGTGCCAAAAGATCGACACAGATTAATTATTATAATCTACATACAGACAATGCTTTGTTACCAAAAGGCATAAATATTTTACATGTAGTTACAGATTATAGTGACTTCACTGACAGCAACCCGCTCCTCTGTCTTCCAGGAGCACCATCAAATCAATATTGCAATACCAGGTACTGTTCTGAATCAAGGCTACAGCTAAAATTTAGGAATTGCTTTTAAGCTTTATCTCATGAAGTCAAATGGGAGCTATGCATTAACCCAGAGAGAAAGTGACAAAGCTATGCCAATTAAAAGGCATCTATAAATCTGCACAAAGAATTTTGTAATTATTTCTGAAACTAGGTGCAGCTGATCACCACTTGATTTAGTAGGAGACTTATATTTTTCCCATTAATTCTTGAAAAGTCTATAGCACTCATTAAACATTTTCCAATATAGATCTTGGTGAAATTTTTGGCCAGAACTTTTCCTGCAAAAAATACAGATTCAGAAAGAGTAAAACATTTTATACATACTGTTTCATTCCTTGAATTGTTCACATAAAAGAAGAAAGAATAATCCACAAGTTATGATTTTAAAATATTTAATTTCAACACTTCTGAAATACGTCACTGACTAAAAACTGCTTTTTTCTTTTAGATTTTCCTTCAATTTATTACTTAAGTAATCCAGAGCTTGAAACTGAAATAAAAGTCTGTCTTTATCCCACAATGGAAGGTTTGACTTTGCAGTTAAACAAACAACCAACAACAAAACACACACACACACACACAGGAGAAGGATTTGACCCATAATGCTTTCTTTTGCTTTTCAGAACTGCCAGAATTTTAAAAGCCTTTACTATGCATGGCTTTGTCACTATTCACTTCATTATTTAGCATCCCCAAATTAAATCTGCAGATCAGAAGGGCAATAATTAAAAGCTACTGATAAGGGGATAAACAAGCTCGGGAGAGGGGAAAATCTCCTGCAGCGAGGACAGGCCTGGCAAGGGGCTGAAGAGAATAAAGTATTCTCCTGGCTAGTTGAAGGCACTGCTTCAAGGCATGCAAATTCAAGACATGAACTGCAATTAGGTAAAATGCAAAGCCAAGTTAATGGACATTTTGCCTATATTAAGATTGCTGGATCACGTACAGAAGCACGGACAAACATATACTCTCCTAAGATATAGGTCCTAACGGACCTGGCAGGAAGGGTTTGTTTTGGCCATTTAGATCTTTCAACCAGTATTTCTCAAGATCCAGGACTGCGCAGATCGAAGCCCTGTCAGAAAAAGGGTTTCTGTCTCTGGAGAATATTGCCCTCAGCACATTTATTCAGAATGTCAACACACAGTTTTCTTAGCTGTGCTCTTTGATCAAAATCATTGATCACTGTGCCTCTCTTCTATGTCAACAATAATTAAACAGTTTTATTGTTTAAATTTAATGTTCATAGCCTTGCTTTTTTACCATCCTCAGTTTACTTCTTTGACAGCTGGTATGTCCCAATGCCAGCCTCATCTACCTTCTGTTACAATTGGAGTAAGAAATTTCATTCTTCTGCCTCATTTCCCTTTGCTCCTTGATTCATTTCTGGCCACCTGTCATCTCACCTTCATGAGATGACCTTAAGTCACAAGGACCATCTTCTGACTCTGTGATGCACTGTGAAATCTTAGTCCCTGACATGATAACAACAGTAATACTGGTGATTTTTTGTCCTTAATAGGAGAGCCAGCAGCTGTAATTTAGCACAAAGAGATTCTGTTTTCAGCTTGTTCTTTCCTAACTAAGAAAGCTGGTCTTATTTAAAACTCTTTGCACAGTTGGCTACAGTGCCCAGTTTGCTAGCCGGCAACTAGCAAAACCACTGCAGTTGATGGAATGAAGAGAGAAAGCCTGAAAAACTTTGATAGCATACATAAATGTTAGTTTAATACTTACACGTAATTCCAATTTTATATAGCTCTCGGAATTTTTGATTGTAGCCTTCTCCTGGCACATAGTCTCCAAGGCCAATGGTGCTCAGGGAAATGAAACAAAAGTAAAAAGATTCCAAAAAATTCCAGTCATCTTCCAGAACAGAAAATATTGCTGCTGGGATAAAGAAAAAGCACGAGACCGTGATGAACCCAAGGACCACGGCGTGGATAATTGCAACAACCTGCTTGGAGAAGCCCCAGCGAATGTGGAAATATAGTACAGGGCGCCTGGTGACATAAACAATGATGCGCTGCACCACTGCTGTTAGGAAAAGCAGTGTAAAAGGGATCCCGATGACCGAGTAGATGATGCAAAAGGCCTTTCCTCCATCAGATAAAGGCACTGTGTGTCCATAACCTGGAACAAAACAGAGCGAAGGCATAGAATAAGCTTGAAATTGAAACTGAAATAGGTATGTGCCAAAGCTGGGACTGCATGCATCAATTCAATATTGATTGTGTTGTGTGAGATAAAGAACCGCTCCACTGCTGCTAAATCTGAACTCTGTCACTTTCAAAAAATGCTTTTCAAAGAAGGTCTCTTCTAACCACGCATACAGCCAAGTTATTGGTGATAAAAAAGTAAAAATCCAGAAGGATTTTTATACTTCAAAATTGTGAACATAACTGTATTAAACCTTATTTTGGAGGAGGAGGTAGTGCCTGGCCAGGAGCAAGGAACTTATGTCAGGAAGTGTGCGCTCTCCTCTAGGTTTTTCTGCCATTCGTTTTGTTTAGTTTTGCCAAGTCATGCAACTTTTTCCTTTGCCCATCTTGTCCGCTGGGACAATATATACTTCAGAAGAATGTTCTTAGATCTGCTTTGAGGTAAAACCCTCTAAGTAAAACCCCTTTTTATGAAAGGCATTTAAATTGCAAAGAAGTATTATAATTGGCATTTCACATTTCCATTATTCTACAAGGTGTTCAGATGATAATCCACTCAAGATATTTAAAAGCAGAACAAACGTTTCCAGAGCAAAAATTCTCAGATCCAACCATTGCAACTGGATTTTTGCGTAGTCACTCATGTATTAGAATTATCAATAGTAATCTATTTAGAGTATAGAAACGCATCCACTGTTGTACTGATCAGCACTGTTGTGCTGATCATGACCAACAATCTTGATTCCACGAACATGAGCAATTACACTTGTATACAGTGCAAGCAGTGCTTCCAGAGCTCATTATGCCAGACAGCTTGGTTTTAAACATAAATCACAGGCACAGAAAAGAACAGTAATCCAGCATAAACCAGGAATGCTTTCTTCTGTTTGCCAATCAACAAAATGAGTATTTTGTTTTCACTGCAGCAAGAAGAGGAGATCTCTTGAAATCTAGTTTGGGTAGTCACAGCTCTTGAGGTTTGCACTGCAAGCAAGCACAGACAAGCCGTACTAATTCTGCAGCCCCAAATCTGCTAGCTCACTTAGGTTATGCTAGTGCTGTACAACAAAGCATTTTCTAGAGGTGCTGCAGCTAGCTGTGCTGAGGAAGCTCATCCCTCACCCTGACCTACGCCAGCCTGCTCAGCATGGCACTGGACCAGACAGCCCCAAGGGCTTCCAGGGAACCCCTCGCGTGCTCCCCCTGTGGAACTGGCTGCTCAGCATGCCCTTTCAGGTTTTACACAAGCACAGGAGGTTTCCTCTCTAGATTAATGAATTCAATAGCAGAAATACTGACCTTTAAAGTTTTCCAGAAGGGTAAACAAAGGAAATGGTCTTTTTCTTTAAGATATACAGAGACATTTCTAGATAATGAAGGACATGCAAAATGCCTTACCATTCCAACATAAAAAGTCTTATGAGAATAAATCTGTGTGGTTCAGTTTCTCTGTATTAGCTAACCTGACAGAAATCTTCAGTTCCATTTGAATTTTAATATTATGAATAATCTATCCAAGTTCAGTCTTTTGAACCCCAGAAAAAATCACATTACAGGGGTATCGCTTTTAATGTGAACTACTCAAATCCATTATATATCATGCTAAATTGTCTAACAATTCCTACTTTTGTGCTGTTTACAGCACCTGCTCCATTTTTGCGGCCATCTTCTATTCAGCTTTCAAAACAACTGAAAAATTCAGTATTATTTTAAGCACAAGGTGGGGAGAGGGGAAGAGGGGAGAAAGTAACGTTTGGCTTTTTCATGTTCATCTTCTGTTTGTCGTATCCTTTTTGAGATGAGAGAACCAGAACTGCACATAGAAATTCCAAATGCAGCTGAACCACAGATTTATACAGTGGCAAAGACCGTTTCTGATTTTCTTCTCTTGTCCACCCCTAACAATCCCTAACATTCAACTGGCTTCTCTGACAACTACTGGACGCTGAGTTAACATTTTCTTGGACCCGTCTACCAGAGCACCAGGATCTTGCTTCTAAGAGGCATCCATGAGTACAGAGTTCACACGTGAAACTAGGATTACTTTTGCTGTGCATCACTTCATATCCGCATTCATTTTAAAGTGCCACTTTACTGTCCAGTCAGATTGCAATTCTTCCATCATCCTTACTACCTTAAATACATTTTATGTATTTAAACTTTATTATCTCACTGTTCACCTCGTTCTCCAGGTCATATATGACTATATTGAATAGCACAGGTCCCAGCATAGGCCTCTGAAGAACAGCCCTTGTGACTTTCCTCTATTTCAAGAGCTAATTGTTTTCCCCTACTTGGTTTTCTATCTTTTTTCGTCTTATATCCACATAAGGACCCGGCAATGGTTGCTTAGCTTCCCAGCTCTAGATTCAGAAGGGAAGAAAGATCTGTGTGTTTGAGTTGGGCATAGGGTGTCTATCACCGACTCACGTGACACATACACGAAAAAGGCAACTGCAATGCTACATCACATCAAGGTGTCTTCAGTAAAGGAGAAATAGAGATGTATTAGTTGCACAAGACATAGATCAGTCCTCATCTGGAATTAAACAACATGGATTTTGCATATCCATGGTTAAAAATAAAGTCACTCTGCAACAAGAACAGAGAAGACTTACTGAAACTATCAGGGGATTAGAGACTGTTTAATGAGAGGAAGATAAAAGCAGTTGGCTTCCTTGGCACAGCTGAATGAAGACTGAAAGGTGATATAGCATCTCCTTGTTAATGCATCAGAAGACAAGTGCTACCAAGGGAGAAGTGCTTTAGATGAAGAACAATATTGCCACACAAACAAATAGCTCTGATGTAGCCATGAATAAATTTATTCTAGAAATTGGAAAAAACGTTTCTAAGCCTCAGAGTAGAGTTTTGGAACAGTCATCCAATTTCAGTACTGGGGGAAGAACCCAGTCATGTTTAAGGTGGAGCCTGATGAAGCTCGATAACTAATGAGACAAGCAGAAATTGAGTTTGTAGGCCCAGAAACTTCCTTGCAAGCTCCAGGCTGCTAAAGTTAGTGTGTGTTTGCACTGCAAAATTAATCCAAACTTTCAGTAATTTGAACCCAAATATCCATATCACACATTTAAAAAAAAAAAAAATCCCTGACATTCGTTGGTTCATTATGCACAGAATAGGCTGATAGTGATTTAAAGTTTAAGCTCTGCTCTGATTTGGGTAGTAATCAGTTCTTTTCTTAGTGAGGATGGACTCCAGTGCTAAAACCTCTCTAACACTTCTCCCATAATCCCTTCTGAATGACAAGACAAATTATTCCTCCAAGTATGACCCAGAGCAGACGGAGACTCAGAGACAAGTGTAGAATCAGGAAGACTTTACTACAGAGAAGTTTGCAACTAGGCTGGACTAAGCTGGGTGCTCAAACCAGTTTGCCACTTACCTGGGCTAACCCTTACTGAAACTTTCCCAATTCACAGAGGTAGCTGAGGTGCCTGCTTCAGGCACCACCTTCTAACGTCTGCTCTGCCATTCTGGTGAGGTTGCCACACCACATGAAGGTTAGCTGTCGGGACTGTGTATCTGCTCCTCAGCTGCCAACAGTTACAGGAAGTGTAATAATAGAGTGTTGCCGTTTGCTCACTGAGGAGGGAATACATGCTCAGTTCAGCTAGAAGCAGTAAGAGGATGACATCTTCCAACTGCGGCAGAAAAGCGACCAGTGTTTGTTTGCTATTCAGGATCCAGTCACTGCTTAAGAACAATTATTTTAAAAAGCTTGAACAGGAAGAGTCACAATTTATGAGGCCATGGCAAGCATTAAGGAAAATGCTCATTTTTTCCCCAGTAGGAAACTGCTTCTGTGACTTCTCCCAACAAAGTCTATACCTCTTAGCCCTCAACCGTACAAAAGCAATTAGAAAAACCCAGCACAGCCATACATCAGAACAGAGGACGTTGGAGAACCAAGGCACGAGATGCTCCATGTCATTGCTCGGCCATTTGCATACTATTGCCTCCTGCCTCTGTTCCTGCGTCTCTTTGTTGCTTCCTTGCACTGTAACCTCTTCAGGGCAGAGGCTTTCCACACTATGTCCATAAAGTGCCCTGCACATGCTGATCATGCATAAATATTAAATAATAAAGGCCCGTTTGCCTTTTTCAGCTGAAACTACCATGCTCAAAAGCATTACAACTGCAGTCCTAAGATTCTTTTTATTATGAGAAAAGGATGCTCACAAAGAAGGGACTATTTATATTACCTTTATTAAAACGAAGTCATTGTGTTAATCTGTCAAGGAGAGGAGATGGACAGATTTGCTACGGGTAACTAGAATTAAACTGTCCACGTAGCATATCTGATAACTGAGTTACTGATTATAAAGGTAAACAAGATTTAGAGACTGCTGTATTTTTATATGTATATGCTGAACACCAAATGACAATTGTTCGTTTAAAATCACCGACCCTTAAAAAACAAACCCTCATATAGCCTGCCCAAACTCAGAAGCAAAGTGATCCCAGACAGAGAACAGCATTATCCACACCACTATATAACTGTTTCTATTGCCCATCAACACATTAGCAGTATAAAAATTAGTCATTCCTTCAAGAAAACTCACAGTAAGAATGTGTGTGCAAGACTAGTAGGATTTGCCTTACTAAATAAGGTCAACGCCCCATCTAGCTCAGCATCCTGAGACAGACACACACTTGATGGTTCATATAAAGAGCAAAACGTCAAAAGGCATGGACAGCTGAGTTTCAGTTCTGCTCATAAATGGAGATTTCTTTGTTAAAAGTCTTTTACTCTGACTTATGACTTGGAAGACTTCTATTGTTATATGTTCACATAAATATATGTAATACTTTTATCTTTTCTGATGTAATTTTGAATGTCCTCGTAATGTCCTACAAAACTGCTCATTTTAAAAAAATCATTTAACACACTTAAATCTTTTTACATTGATCTTGACACAGGGAGTTATACAGGTCAATTATGCGCTCAAT